GTCGAGAACATTTCGCGCCGCGGTAACCGTTCCTTTCTGATTTTTTTTCCGACGCGTCGTATTCGGCCGACGACGCGACACTGATGCCTTGGAAGAGACACGTCGGTATAAGTAGGAAAGATCTGACTTATGTCGCGCGTGGCGCGGTGTGGGAAATTTGCGCGGTCCTCTACTTCCTTCGGCGGATGCGGAGATCGGAGAGCCGAACCCCGGTGTCGTCATTGTTTCAATAATCGCTCGCCGCCGACGTTAGCGAGTTATCGTTGAGGCGTACGATTCGATCGAGGAGATCGCGCAACTGCTGCAGCAGTTCGGCCTTAGGGCAGACGATATTCAGTATCCGCAGATCGAATTTACCGGCCGACGAGACGGTCCTCGTAAATTCGTTGAATTTGTAGAACTGCGCCCGAGTGGTGAAGTACAGATTGCCGTCGATGTAACGGAATATCGACGTCACGCCGGTTGGTATTCCGGGAAACGTCGCCTCGAGGGGCGTAAATTTGGCGACTCTCTTATCCTTGTCGCATTCGTCTATCTCGCCCACCGCGTTACCGTTGAACACCACGTAGGAACGTCCTCTGTGGGTGTTCACCGCTCCGTTGATCAACGCGTTTTCGGGAAATCCGAGTTCTTGCAGGGTATTCGGCCAACTTGGCCGCAGACTAAATTCCGGATATTGAACCAAGTATACCAAATTATCTACGAACACCACGAAATCGCCGGACGGGGATTGATAGGCAGCGGTCACGCGCGTGTAATTGTCGTGAAGAAAGTTCATGTGATTCGAGAGGGCTAAAGGTCCGTTGTACGTCCTACCGTCCAGATCGATCGACCAAACGTAACGTTTGTACGAGATGTACATTCGATTTTCCAAAATCAATATCCCGTTCACGCGATCGAGGCTGCACAGGTCCGGCGACGGCGGCGGCGGCGGCGGCGGCGCTGGCGTCCGACGCGGCGGATCGTTCGGAATTTTTTCACCGTACAAACGTTGAATGTCGGCGATGTCGTTTTGGTCGAGCTTCACCGGATACTGCTGGTCCGGTTGTATCGCGAACATCATCGATGTTTTGCGCTTGTTGTGCACCAATCCGAGGGAGTGGCCGATCTCGTGCGTCAGCGTGTAATGCAGGGAAAACTTATCCGCGGGATGTTTGTTGACGTAAATGTGCCACGGCTCGTCCCCGTCGACGTGCACCTCGGAAACGAACCCCGCTTGGTCCGTCGGGAGAGACGCGTGGGCGAGCACGTTGCCGGGGCCGTCGAATTTGTCCGAGCAAAATGCTCCGTTTACCTTGGTGTTCGTGTTATAGTGTAGTAGGCGTCGCCAAGATATTAT